GTGTTGCAGGTAACCAATGAAGTTTCCAATTATGTTCTAATTAAATAAATGTTCTTGTAATAATAGGCAGAAAGTATACCCAGGAATCATGTACCAAAACTCTTGATTAAAAAACCCACACCACCTAAAACGGAGTTTGCAAAGGCATTTCTCAATTTTCAATTGCATATTTTTTGGTACAAGTAAGCGTGGTTTTATGTAGTAGGTACATGTTCATTATCTTGCTTTTTACCTTACGCCCCTAAATAAACAAGTCAAAACACTCACCCCTTAGCCTCCTTGGTTCAGATTATCCACGAGATAAACTCTACCATTGGAAGAAGATACGTACTTACACTACACTACACTACCGCACTATTCAAATTCTCATACGATACTGGTTATTGTTATTGGGAATTTTGAGGTATACAGATAACAGGTGAGACAGAGAACATGTGCCTTAACGAGCTCCTTTCGTAAAGGTCAGTTTCGCGCCGATATGGTACTGATGTTTCTAATCATTTCTGGCAAGTGAAATTTATTCACAAATTTAGAAAACATATTTTATTGACTAAGCGTTTTGAGTACAGTTGCACTCGAAAAACTTACCAGCACACATTCATTTTGTGAACTGCTGTCCCTGTTACTTACGAGGGTTAATAAATCTTCGGGGTCGAAATTGCCGGAGGTGAATCTTCCAGGGGCGAATTTACTTGGGGGCGACTTTTCTTGGGGGCGACTTTTCCGGGGCGAATTTTCGGAGGGCGAATTTTCGGGGGCGAATCATCCTACAATTTTTTCCGCGACACCGCACCTTTATCATTATAGAATGTACAGAGGGGTAGAAATATTTTTTGTATACTACTTACCTAATACTCAAAAAAGGTCTTTCTACATAAAATTTCACTACTTTCAATGGCTGTACTTAATGCAAAGTTTCCTTTATAATTTCATAATTTTAAAACCGCGAGTTATGGGCGATCTGTATAAGCAGTGAACGGTTGCTCAGTTACACAATCACTGAAGGAAGCAAAGATAATCCATGTAGAGAGGTATTGTACTACAAGAGTTACACCCCTCTCATCAATATGTGTAAGAATAATAAATAAGATAAAGTCTCAAGTTTACAAATCCACGAAGAAGGCTTTTAGGATTTTTAGTTCATATTTAGTGTCCTGAGGGTATTGGCCCTTTATGTACCTTTAGGGGTTTCGTGTGTCTATAAAAACGTATGTTAAGTGTGTAGGTATTTAAGGATCCTCAAAGGGTCTCTAAAAGAGCTTTTCAGGTTCTCTCTAGGTTTTAATTAAAGAGACTTTAATGGTTTTTATAACCGTTAAGAGCGCTTAAGTGTTTTTTTATGAGCCTTGAAGACTTTTCAAAATCATTGTTTTCAAGTGACCAAAAATTTTCAAGAATCTTCATAAACCCTTTCTGAAATTGTGTACCTAATAGCATTGAATAGGTAATATTACTTATTCAATGCTAATAGTCTTTCAAAAGACTGAGTATTTTGTTTGTTGGCTTACAAAGGAAAAGACATAAATGTTCTTATTTATAGAAATGTATTAAATGAAACGATAATAACAAACTACAATACGTACACAGAGTAGACGCATTGAGGGATTAAAGAGTTTTTGTTCCTGAAAGAATGGTTTATGTATTCTTGAGGGAACAAAAACTAGTTTAATCCAGTGTTAAAAATTATTTATTCAATAATAGACGGGCACCATTGCTTAGCAACTAATAATGAGGGCGCCAACAACCAACAACGGCAATAGTATAACAAGTTGCATAACTGCTTAACTATAAATTTTACCATCATTGTTAACTTTACCATTACTTTACTATTCCATTCATTGTAATATGTAATAAATATACAATGACTATTCAGATTCACTATACTAACATGTAATACATTGAGGAACGAACTACCTTTCCTTACTAACTATAAACAGAGTGTATTCGAACTGTAACTTTTGATCTAGTAGCCCAATCTTGGAACTGTGGAATTGTGGATTCTACAAATCTACAGGCCACATTCTATAAGAAAATGTTTTTTCCCGGTCGATTTGAGACAATTTTTTTGCGGCTTCAAAAAAAGCAAGTGTATACCTACACTTCGTTTTTTACCAAAAATCGACTGCACCAAAATTTCTCGGGAAAACACTTTTTCTGATTAATTTTGGTGCGTAGAATCCAAAATGAATCGTACTTTTTCGATTAGACTTCTCAATCATAAGTTATAGACTAGAACCAATTTCGAAAGAAAATTGAAAGGGCTGTAACTTTTGATCTAGTAGCCCAATCTTGGAACTGTTTGAAATTGTGGATTCTACAGGCCACATTCTATA